AATAAACAAATTTGTATCTTTTATTTCAAGAATTTCTAAATTTTCAGTATTTATAGAACTAATTCTAAGTAGATTCAAACTTAAATTATGAAAAGTTATGAAATTGAATGAATAAACGAATTTATATTTTTTTTTTTCAAGAATTTCAACATTTTCAGTAATTATAGAAGTAATTCTACGTCGATTCTAAACTTAAATTATGAAAAATCATGAAATTGAATGAATAAACAAATTGTATTTTTTATTTCAAGAATTTCTAAATTTTCAGTAATTATAGAAGTAATTCTACGTCGATTCTAAACTTAAATTGTGAAAAGTTAGGAAATTGAATGAATAAACAAATTTGTATTTTTTTTTCAAGAATTTCTGCATTTTCAGTAATTATAGAAACAATTCTATGTCGATTCTAAACTTAAATTATGAAAAGTTAACAAATTGAATGAATAAACGAATTTGTATTTTTTTCAAGAATTTCTAAATTTTCAGTAATTATAGAACTAATTCTATGTCGATTATAAACTTAAATTATGAAAAGTTATGAAATTGAATGAATAAACAAATTTATATTATTTCTTTTCAAGAATTTCAACATTTTCAGTAATTATAGAACTAATTCTTCGTCGATTCTAAACTTAAATTATGAAAAGTTATGAAATTGAATGAATAAACGAATTTATATTATTTATTTTTCAAATTTTTTTACATTTTCGGTAATTATAGAACAAACTCTATGTTGATTCTAAACTTAAATTATCAAAAGTTATGAAATTTAATGTATATTCGTATTTTTTTTCTTTAAAAAATTATAAAATAGTTTTCAGGAATCAATTCAATGTGAATTATTGTATTTAAATTAATGAAATGATTCATAAATTTATTATTTTCCACAAAATGAAAAGTTATTAAACGGAATGGATATAAGTATACATGTTTCTACGAGAAGTTCAAATATTACTCAATCATTATAGAACAGTCTTCATAAATTCATGCTTATTCCCCAATAAAAGTATGTAATTGCAATTCTTTTGATTTTCAAATGTATATCTATACGATTCGTATATTAAAATAAATCTCATACACTTTTTTTTCTGCCGTCGATTTCTCTCTTATCTCGCTTCGGATTTTCAACTTCTTTCGCACAAAAGTCCCTCGACTTCACCAAAAACCACGTGCATCGACTTCAGTCTACCCTGTGACATCCCGTTGACGCGACGCGTGCATCTATCTTTACTCTCTTTCCTCATCCGGAAAACACAGTCTCCTCCACACAATGATTGACTCCAACTATTACGACATCATCAAGCAAGAGCAATGCTACTTTGATAAGTAAGTCCAAAAACCAATTTAAAAAAAAAACTGCGTACGCGTACACATTTTTGTTTTTTCTTTACACACGACGTCTTCTTTGGTTATTTCATGCGACATGCGACTTCCTTACAATTTAAATACATTATACCTATTTCTGGACCTATTAAGAAGAAGAAAAAATGGATTATACACGCTGCGTGCATAGGTGGAATTAAAAAAAAAACAGCTCGAGCAGTGCACTTTTCCCCGTCGCTGTTACATAATCAATGCGTAATGGGTTTCGTTTTATTTGGTGCGTGCTGCGAAAAATCCAATTTAATATATATATATATAAAAAATTATACAAAACTGCAGGTTTCATACGCAGTCACGTGGTGTAATTTTTTTTTGTTGTAATCCACTCTTTTCAGCGTTGGCTCGAGTCTGGAATTATTTAATTGCCCTTAGCGGCAGTAGACGGAATTATCCTTGTCTGTCTGCTTCACACAAAGGAGAGAGAGATTTGAATGTTTGTCGTTATATTTTATGAGGGGTTGGTGTGTGTTTGAGTGTAAGAGACAGAGAGAGAGAGAATCAGAGGAAACGTTGGTTTGGGAAGGACGACTAATTGAAACTGCGGTAGTAAAAATGGAATGAATAGGAGATGGAGATGAGAAAGAAGGCTTCTTCTGTGGGATTTTCGGGACGATTAAAATGAATTTATTATTATCTGCGCTCTCTGTCCGAAAGAAAGGAGACAGTTGAATGATGAAAAAAAAGTTAAATGTATATTGAAATAGATTTGTCCTATGTGTAAAACACACGCGTGTTTTGTATTTTCTATTTCTCTAATGCATTAGTTTCGCATGAGCTAACGTTCAGTGTTTAATTAAATTTAATTAACATGCGTTTTAATGAAGACACATTGTATTAAATTCTGGTATTTCCGCCGTGCATATGCAACAAGCTTTATTTGTAATTAATTAATCTTTATTGTAATTAATTTTTAATTAGTAAATATGGAACAATCATTATTTATTGATTATATTTGTTAATTAAGATGATTTCTACATTATTAATTTATGTTTACGAAATTCTAACGAAATTGATAATAATTAAAAATATTTCTACTTTTTTTTTTAGTTTTAATTATTTAAACTAATTAGAAATATTTGATTTACTTCTACATTTATTAATTTAAGTTGATGTAAATTATTTTCATGTATTGATTTAAACTATTTGAACTAATCAGATTTTTTTTTATAAAAATTAAATTAATGAACAAAAGTTAACTTTTATTTTCTCATTTTCTTATATTTATGTTTTCTTTATTTCACTTAATTACAAATCAATTTCTAATGTTGATCTATTACATTTTAAAAAGTTTAATGCTTAAATAAATTAATTACCAGAAAGTTTAAAATGATTAAAAATAAAATTAACAAAACTTTGAGAAGTTTTTTGTTTTAATTTCAAACTTTAGAAGTTGTCAAAGATGTTTCTGTATTTGTTTTGTATTTAAACAAATAATAATGTAAACTATTCGAGTTCCGTTTAATTATCTAAAGTCTGTCTCATAGAGTTAATTATATTACGTGGGTGGAAAAAGCCCGAATCAAAAGCGCTCCGTTCTGCTCAGCCGCAAATTCATTACGCAAGGATTTCACTTTCTACGGAAGGATTCCTTGCGGCTGCTGCGAGAGAGTTTTGCGGCGAAACTACAACCTCTGCAAAGAGCAGACCTTCTTCTCTTTCCCTCTCATCCTGAATCCTGCAAATTGGAGTAAGAGAGAGAGGGAGAGAGAGTCAAAGTTAATCTCGTTCGAGTGTGCTTTTGTTTTTTCCCCCTTGCCGTAATATAGTTTTATTAAAGGAAGTCGTAACGAGATTCAGGACGATATGAAGCGACGCCATAACACTACAGCTTTGCATATAATAATAATAATAGTTTTTGATCAAATTCATACGAAAAATTGATTTCGTCCTTTTTTTTATTCTTGACTTTGTTTGTCAATTTAATTATTCTGTGGTCAAAGTACGGTTCAAATTCATACCTAAAATTGATTTCGTCCTATTTTCTATTCTTGACTTTCTCAACATAATTATCCTGAGATCAAAGTATTGTTTAAATTCATGCATAAAATTGAATTCGTCCTTTTTTCTATTATTGACTTTGTTTGTTAATTTAATTATCCTGAGGTCAAAGTACTGATCAAATTTATACCTAAAATTGATTTCGTCCTTTTTTCTATTCTTGCCTTTGTTTGCCAACTTAATTATCCTGAGGTCAAAGTCAAATTCATAACTAAAATTGACTTCGTTCTTTTTTCTATTCTTGCCTTTGTTTGCCTTTATCCTGAGGTCAAAGTACGGTTTAAATCCTTGCATAAAATTGATTTCGTCCTTTTTTCTATTCTTGACTTTGTCAACTTAATTATCCTGAGGTACTGTTCAAATTCATAACTAAAATTGATTTCATCCTTTTTTCTATTCTTGACTTTGACAACTTAATTATCCTGAGGTCAAAGTACTGTTTAAATTCATGCATAAAATTGACTTCGTCTTTTTTTCTATTCTTGCCTTTGTTTTCCAACTTAATTATTCTGAGGTCAAAGAACTGTTTAAATTCATACCTAAAATTGATTTCGTCCTTTTTTCTATTCTTGACTTTGTCAACTTAATTATCCTGTGGTAAAAGTACTGTTCAAATTCATACCTAAAATTGATTTCGTCCTTTTTTCTATACTTGACTTTCTTTGTCAACTTAATTATCCTGAGGTCGAAGAACTTATTAAATTCGTACCTTAAATTGATTTCGTCCTTTTTTCTATTCTTGACTTTGTTTGTCAACTTAATTATCTTGAGGTCAAAGTACGGTTCAAATTCATACCTAAAATTGATTTCATCCTTTTTTTTTTATTCTTGACTTTGACAACTTAATTATCCTGAGGTCAAAGTACTGTTTAAATTCATGCATAAAATTGATTTTGTCTTTTTTTATTCTTAACTTTGTCACCTAAATTATCCTGAGAACAAGGTATAGTTTATATTAGTACTTAAAATTGATTTCGTCCTTTTCTTCTATTCTTGATTTTGTCAACTTAATTATCCTGAGGTCAAAGAACTTATTAAATTCGTACCTCAAATTGATTTTGTCCCTTCTTTTTATTCTTGACTTTGTCAACTTAATTATCCTGAGGTCAGGGTACGGTTCAAATGGCGTCGTAAAAATAAGGATGGACGAAAGAGTAGAGAAGTTTAGTGACCGACTACGTTATTGCAAAAAGGACGATCCATGCACGAACGAAGGATTACGAAACGTATCATGTTTATTTGTTGTGTGTCCTTTTTAGCTTGGAGCACGTAAAAAAGGATAGGACAGAAAGAGAGGAGGGAAAAAAAAGGCGGCCGAATAAAACGGTCGGCATGTAATGAACTTAATTAGCTCAGGGCAATTAAGCAGATTAGTTTTAGACAGCGACAATCATTTGTAGTCCCCGGTCTTTAGTTGAAATAATACAACGAAACAATAGGATTTAGATTGAGATTTAAATACAAAGTTGTGATTATCTAAGCGAGTGATTAATATATTTTAGTGCAAGAAAAAGCAATTAAACATTAGCACTTCCTCAATTTTATTTTTATTTGTTAGTTTAATCAATACTTTAGTTTGTAATTACGGAAAGATTATTTATTATAATTGAGATTTGAATTCATATTTGCAAATTTAATTAATCCATTTTTACAAATTCATTCAGAAGATTATCTTGATTATAAAAAAAAGTTATCGGGATTAATGAAATTGTACAGTATATTACTAATTTTCATTTTTTTGTTAATTATATTTTTTGCAATTCATAGTACATTGATCAACATTTTCATTAAATATCAAAGAAAATTAATAGCTTTGTTTAAACCAATTAAGTTTTCTAATTAGTAATTTGGAAAAATAAAATAAGTCCAAAATCTAAATTCTTTATCAGTTTATAAAAGTTAACAGTAAATTAATTGAGTTATCAAATGATGATGAAATATGATGAGATTTATTTATATAAGATTTTTCCATAATAACAGTTATTTTTTTAAAAAACTTAGAAAGTAGTCCAAACAATTATTTTATCTACTTCAAAAATATGTTTGGAAAGTTAAAATTTGGTAACTTTTACTAATTTCCAATAATAAATATATTGTTAACTTTTCCAAAATACACACATTGTCTCAATTACTTTATTTATTTTTAATATTTTTCAATCAACTTTTTCTTAAATTTGAAATTTAGTAACTTTTCTTGAATTATTATTTTTTTATTAAATATTTGTAAAATGAGCAAACATTGAGTGGGATAATTATGAAAATTGTTATTTTTTATAATAAATACAACATTTTCTTATATTCTTTATCTAATTCAAAAATATGTTGAGAACGCTCTAAAAACTTTCCATAATTATACAAATTGATGAATTATCATTTTATTGTAATTCGTTATAAAGGATATGATTAAGGTTAGCAGTATTTTGCAATTCGGAATTTATAGATCAACATTTTCATTAAATATCAAAGAAAATCAATAGATTTGATTAAAACAATTAACTTTTCTAATTAGTAATTTGGAAAAATAAAATAAAATTTGTCAATCAAATAAGTCCAATATCTAAATTCTTTATCAATTTATAAAAGTTAACAGTAAATTAATTGAGTCATCAAATGATGATGAAATATGATGAGATTTTTCCATAATAACAGTTATTTTTGAAGATACTTAGAAAGTAGTCCAAAATTTGTTAACTTTTACTAATTTCAAATAATAAATACATTTTCAACTTTTCCAAAATACACACATTTTTTCAATTACTTTATTTATTATTAATATTTTTCATTCAACTTTTTCTTTCTAAATTATATTTATAAGTAATGATTATAATATTAGTAGACAATGTTTAAAAAGTTGAAATTTGGTAACTTTTCTTGAATCATTTTTTTTATTAAATATTTGTAAAATGAGCAAACAATAATTCAGATAATTATGAAAATTGTTATTT